AAGAATGACAACTTCTTCCCTTTCTCCCCTCCTCTAGCCTCCATCAAAATACATACCCAACAACAACAAAAAAACCCAATCAATTTAGTTCAGCCTCTTGATGTGTGGTATCAAAGCTACTACATATAAATCTCAGCTGAGGAGCCAGAGCCATCAGAAGACTATATGTATCAGAGCTTTAGACTAGGTGCGTCCAGATAGCAAAATAAACCTACCGCAAGTGACAATCCAGAACAGTCATGAGACACAACATAGACAAGAAGGACATAGAAGGAAGAAATAAAAATTAAAACAACCACACAGAAACATTAGTAAAAACCATGGAGAAATGACCTTTTTACAATAGTACATTTAACAGTTTGCCTCCCCTAATCTAATTCTCCCTGTGGCCCTTGGTGGAGTTGTATTATCTACTTGAAAAAGTAAGCATTGCCTGCAATGGAAACAGGTTTCAAGACTGAAAACCTAATCTTATTTTCAACTCATCTTCCACTTTTCCTCAATTACATTTGCTCATAATCTATATTCTTTCATAAACAGTTTCTCATCTGAAGTTGTTTTCAGGAAAGTGGACATTCTAAAGCACAAATATTCTAACAGAGACCAAAATTTGATTCCTCTTTCTGTAGTATCTACTGAGCTGACTGAGGCTCTGTGTCTGTCTCTAATGATGTCAAGCTATATGGCTCTAGAGTGATTTGGCAAGAGCCAGGTCAGCATGAGCACATGTAGGTCACAAGTTCTCTTTGACAAACAAAACCAGACTAAGATGGAAACTGTATTTTCAGAAGCTGATACTTTGAATTTACCAAATGCTGCTCCCTTCCCAGCTTTGTGTGCCTAGGGAACTAGGATCTTTCAAGATGCCAAGTGCCTATCAACTGCTATTATGCACTCTCAGCTGAACGCAGAAGGTAATTAGTGCTTGCAGGTTCAGGCCTAACAATTACTGAACTAAGCTGCTTTTTTTTTTTTTTTTTAAACAACACCTAATATCTTTGGTACTATATGTTTATAATGATATTAGATTTACATCTTGTTCTTAAAGTATTTTTTTAACTTTAAAATTTGCTTCTTTAAGAGCTAAAAGGCATTCTTGTTTTTCCCCTTTCTGTTTTATGCCAGAGCCTCTAAAATTATTCAGTTCTCTTAGCTGAAATATTCTACATTTAGCATTGCATTGAATTCAGCGATGTATATTAAAATTTGCACTGCTAATTCCAAGATTAAATCCTGTTAAAATAAAAAAAATCATCCATACCGAAAAAAAAAAAAGTCAATGGCGAAAATTTCACAAATTAGGAATTAAGATGGTAAACATTATTAAATGCCAAGGACCTAAAATTGGTACACCATCAGACTGCTAGGTATGAATGTAAGGGTCTAACTTAAGTGGCCTGGTTTTGAAATCCCAGATAGTGAAGAGGAACCTTGGCTGGGGAGCTGCTGATGCATTCTGTTATTAAAGGTCTGACAAGTTACCTCAATGACAGTCTACTCTCCTAACGTAGATTTGTTTTTGCAAAACAAAACACCTCAAAATCCCAAAATATTTGGGCAAAAGTATGTTTAAATAAATATACAGAATATTCTGAATGGAATAATCTTTAAATACCCATCTGTGCAATATTTCAAAGTTTGAGCTCTCTTTACAGACAAGAGACGTGACTGTGCTTTTTATCAAATTTTCCTATGAAAAAGATAGAAATGAAACTCAATATAAATTACATAATGTAATTTTGCATTTAAAATATTTCTTTTTCGAGAATCCATGGTCATTTATCCAGGTCCTAATGGATATAATTAAAAACAATAATATACTGTAAATACAACAAAGGTCTTGCATGATTCAAAACAAATTCAACATAAATATCAATCAACAAATTGCACATTATTAGTCCTACAAAAAAGTATTACGTTTGTTATCATTAGTAGAACACAACAAACATTTCAAATAATTTTTCCACAAGCATAATCAAACACTTCTTCCAAATTATCCTTGCTTCAATGAGAGGAGCTGGCTAACAGTAGCCCAGGGTAATTCAACAATTGATGATCTGATTTTCCACGCATTGCTGAAGGGGAAATATCTCAGAATTACTTAACATTAATAACCCAGAACAAAGTCTACAAATCAAATACATGGAATCTATGAGTGCTAAATTGAAGTGCTAAAAGAAAAGGGTTTTGTTTCGTATTCATCATATGGAGAAAACAAAATCATCAGTTTTGGTTCCTGCTCTACAAAAAGGATGAGGACGGGCTGGAGAGGGTCCAGAGAAGGGCCACAAGGGTGATCAGAGGACTGGAGGCCCTGCCATATGAGGAGAGGCTGAAAAAACTGGGTTTGTTCAGCCTTAAGAAAAGAAGGCTTTGGGGAGACCTTATTACCATATTCCAGTACTTAAAGGGTGGCTACCAAGAAGATGGAGACTCCCTATTTACAAGGAGTCACATGGAAAGACAAGGGGTAATGGTCAAAAATTGCTCCTGGGGAGATTCTGATTAGGACAAAAGAGGTAAATTTTTCACCATGATGACAATCAAACATTGGAATAGTCTCCCAAGGAAAGTGGTGGATTCCTCCACATTGGACAGTCTAAATCTCAGCTTGCTGAGCCATCTCATATAAACTATAGTATTACCTAGAAAGTTGGACCAGATGATCCTTGAGGTCTCTTCCAACCTAGCATTCTATGATAAAATCTTTCTCAAGGGAGAACTCAAACTTTCTGCTCTCTTTTCTTTACAGCTTGGCCTCACTAATCTTCCTAATCTTGGAACAGCTGCATCTACATTCCTTATTTTGTGTACCGATTAGGTTGTTTTCAGGTGTGAATTTGTCTTGTGTCAGTGTCTTGCACTTCAGTACATCACTGTGGCACATGAAGCATCTTCTCTCCAGACAGAACCAAGGTTGAAGCTGGGCACTATCTAAAATGCTCCACTTGCAATGTGAATGTAAGACTCTCCAGCTGTTGACTCTTTGTGCCTGTGCAGGACTCTCTTGTGGTAAGGCAATCTGGGACGGCTGTAGAGAAATCTGCTTTGTACTGCCTGCTAGCATGTAGACACAAGTACACCTAGGATGGGTCACTGGTGTGAACTTCATTAGCTGCAAGCATACAATGTGCACTCATGTTCTGAGATGCAAAACAGAGTGTGTTGGATCAAGCCTCAGTCTTTCCTTCATCACTTTCATGATGACTGTGTACTGTGGTCACTATAAAATGCTGATACATACAGCTTGAAAGCAATTAATTTTGCCAAGGCTTACTTTATTGGTGTAGTGTATGGACTAGAAGTTAACAACTGTCTAATGAATCAACACTTCAGTAGTGGCTACTGCAATTGAGTAGTATGAAGAGGAACAAAACAACTGGATTTTCAGTTATTTTTTCCTATGCTGGCTTCCTACTGAGCGAGAACAAAATCTCTCCTCTTGTCTTGGAAACTGGAAGTAGCTCTCATAGCTCTGTACCTTTCAGCTTATTGATTATTTTCCTCCTCTTATCTGAGCTCCCTTCAGACTCTACTTGTGTGATCCAGTCACAGGTAGTCATCAGACTTGTAAGGCTTCCTCAGCCACTGTCCTGATTTTGCTCTTCCTCTATCATGTCTTCTGTGCCTTGAGAAGTGTGCTAAGTTTCCAAGACATTTAACACTGGCTGATGAGCCACACTGGTGGCTGCTCCATCACTGTACTGCAGCATCTCAATGCTTGTTTTAGACTGCTCCATGGGCCTCTTAGGTACTGTGTTCCTGGCTTCTCTTCTTGGATCTTGCTCCCATTAGCTGACCCTAGTTCTTCTCTTCAAAGATTTGGCTTGGACTTTTAATAAACCTGCTTTCAGCCCAGCTTTCTTCTACACTAGATCCCAACTTGTGGAAGGAACTGCTCATTCCTGATCATACTTTTATCCTCTTTCTTTGGCTGGAAAAGTGCTCCTAGCCTGCTCTGCCTCAACCTTCTGAGGGGCCTTGGGAGCACAGACTCAGTCATGCCATATCTTGACAATTATTGGCTTCTGCTGAAGAGGTTTTGTAAATCAGTTCTCCAAATCTCTTTAGTGCTTTCTGTTTGAAAACTACAGCCCTTTGTCTTCTTTGCTTAGGAAATCTGGCAATGCAGTAAGGACACATGGATATATCCCATTGATTTCTCTATTCTTCTGCTTATTCTTAACAGTTTGCTCCAGGAAGGGCAATACTAAAAGCCTGCTAAAAGAAAAAATAATCTTTATTTTCTTTCAGGAACATATTAATCAAGTTTGTGGCCCTCTGGATTAGATCCTGCAACCTGCTGCTTCTCTTGTATGAAGCAGATATGAAGGACAAGTTTTTCTGCCCTCTGAAAATGATCCCTCTAAAAGGGCGATATGCTAATGTTTTTCTCCAAGTAACTGAGTTAACTTACAGTTACAACTATAGCCTGTTATCTTTAATCTCCTTGTCTCTAGTACAAAATGAATTGTCTTAGCAGTATTGTGATGTATGTCTCTCTCCACTTCCTCTTTTGTTGTTTTCCCCTGTTTCTATGTTTCCCATTTGTTCTTCTGTGCTGTTGCTCTCTTCTCCACTGAACTTTTGCTTTTGTGTAAAAAGAGATTTAGAATTCAGAACTACTTTTGTTTATCATGTAAGCTCAGAAATACTGCTAGAAAGATACACAAACACTGTGCTAGGTCCTGACCAGTCTCAAAAAAGGACAGTGAAAATTGCTCACATTTGCTTCCTTTCTGAGAAAACCAAGATACTTGCAATAAACTTGCCCATTCCAGATCCAGAGCAGTATGCCTGCTCATGTATTTTAGCAGAGCAGAGAAACTGGCTGACTGCTTTATCAGTGATGCCACAACATCTTCTGTGACACCACTGAGAAGATGCTGCCAATCAATCCCCTCTTCAGAGAGCCACTACTGAGGCAAAAAGCAGAACCTTTTGTAGCTACATCAAACCTTCAAATGCAAGCCAAGAATTCAAGAAAAGAGGTACTTTACCTGGTCTTTCATGGTTTTCCCTAAATCTTTCACATCTTTCATGTTAATAGCATTCTTCCCTCCCTTCTCCTTTCCCTTCTTCTTGTTCTTCTTTTTGAACAAGCATTTCTTACAGAGACAAAAGCAGCAGGTAAGGATTAATAGGACTGCAACTATGGCTATGGCTATTAAGGCCCAAGGTGGCACTGGAAGAGAAAAAGAAAGACACACATAAAGAAGGTGGTAAATTGTTAGTAGGGTTACACTTAGAAACCAGCACATTTCTCTCACAGCTAAGCCTTTTTCAATGAAAATGCACTGCAGAAATACCTGAAATCCTAAAATATCCTGTCACCATTTGTGTATTCATCCCAACTGAACACTTGCACACACAATGCCAGTTTAACACATCTGCCTGTTTACATGCCTGGTGACACGTATCCAACTCACTTGCAGCTATTTTGATTAATCAACCATCTGTAAACAGTATGTCCAAAAAGTCACACTGTGCAAATCTGTAAAATGCTCAGCACATTTAGGCAATTACTTGCTTCTTTCTTCAATCATCTTCCCAACCCACCTGGCATTGTGGCTGAATCGGGTGGAACTGACTGGGAATTTCCCTTTTCCGGAACAGCATCTGATCCAAGCTGTCAGTTTTAATGAACAGCCTTTCTCCTCTGCCCACTACTGCACTTGATAAGAATTTCAGACTTCTCGCAACAGAGGAAGGTCAAGGTCATCAGTAAAGAGTGACCAAGGACAAAGGACAGTCCAGACCAGAGGCATTTGTCCTATTGGTCATCAGACCCTAACACTCACCAAGTTTTAGTACACATATAACTTCTCATCTATGCCTTCCTATCAAGAAAAGTGTATGTTCCATTTATTGATTCAAAGATGCTGGACATGGCTGAAGCATGAATAAATAACAGAGAACACTTACTGTGATAAAATGGTCTGTTAAAGATCAGAATTTTTGGAAATAAAGGAATTAAGATGACACTTTAACACAAGTACTCCAGAAGGGAATTATCCTCATACAAATCACCTTAATGACCACTGATCCTCACATTTAACCAGAACACCTGACAAAATGTTAAATCTTGCCAACTGTAATTTTCTAAAAATCTTGAGATGCATTCAGTATCAGGTCTGCAAGATACCCTCTCAGGGCCTTACCAAGAGGTCTCTCATATGATACAGAACAAAACTAGAGAGTGAATCAAATTTGACATGTTGACGTCAGTGAATCACAAAAGGGAACGGACAGTATAAACAGAGAAAATTAATTGCTTAAAGGACCTAAGCAGAGTGTGAGGCAGGTCACAGGAACTTCCACTACAAATTACCAGTTCAGGAAGAGGACAGAGCACCTACACCTTCCCTAACCTAAATGTAATGACCATTTTTTCTAACCGTTTTTCAAATGTCCTTGGTGACAGATACAGAAATAATGCAGGAGAATAGTTAAACAATAATTTCTGTAATACTTTTGTGCCTCCAAATGTTCATTAAATGCAGCTGCTAAAAAAGGGAAGCTGTACCATATGTAGAACAAATGAGAACTGATTACTAAACAAATGAATGTTAAAAGATGAACAGTGAACAGATTAACAGCTGTTTATGGGATGTATTTTATGGAGTCAGCAGCAGCAATTCTGCAGTTAAAGTTGCATTAGATCTGCACTTACGACAACTTGAATTCTCTATTTCTTGCATTAATAATTTAGTTTTGACTTCAAATCTGGTGCAGTAACACTTTCTAGCTCAACTTACTTTCCCACAGATTTTTACTTTTTTTTTTTCATCCAGAACTCACAAAAGTAAAATTATTGCCTTTCTCAAGCAATGTGTGCCCTCCTCAAATTCTAAACTTCATGTGTGTACTTAGTCACTTGAAGCATCTGAAATGGTATTTACATAACACTATACTTTGTATCTGAGCTAATCTACAGGAGTTATGTCAAGATGAAATGAATGTTCTGCCCAAATTTATCAGCTATCTGTTTTGCTGCCTTGTCTGCAGTGCTTGAAGAATGATTCCACTGAATACAGGAAGCAGCAAGAATACGGGATGGTGTTCTACCAGGTGGATGGCATCGTGGGAGGAAAGAGAGGAGGGACACAGCAAACGCAGGTAAGCTGGGAGAACCAAGGAACCGAGGAGACAGGTAATGTGGGTGTTAATGAGATAAATACATATGCACCCAAAAGATGAAAAAGCTTGTGTAGGTAGTGAATCAGTTGCATAAAGTGGTACTCTGGCACTGCTGCTTTGGTTCTCTGGAGCATGAACAATGTAGGGTGCCTTGAGGAGCATTTGAAACGCTACCAGATACCTTAGGTTCTTTGTTTATAATGCATTGTCTGCTCTCATCTGTCTGTAATTTAATTTCACCCAATATCACTCTTGTGATATAATTAAATGATCATCAAATTAATATCTAAGACACCAAGAATTATGCAGAATTCCTTATTTATCTCCTCAAAGAAAATATGCTCCCTTTTTTATTAAACAAGGCATAAGCAATAAAGGGGAAAAAAATGAGGCAACTCAAACTCTGGACACTTCCACAACAACTTCACCATTCAAGGAAGAAAAAACAAAAAGGAATAGGATTTTTTCCCCAATAAAAGTGAACTATCTCTGTAAAAAAGGTGCCATTGATACAGAGTGCCCAATGAGGGGATGTAAATGTTAGATTTAAGACAAGTGAAACATACAGTTGTCACTGGTTTTGAATGATGTTTTGTTTCCTTTCAAAAGCATTACTTAAACAATTTAAAATGTTCGTAACTTTACATGACATGCACAAGATTTTCCAAAATTACTCAAGACTTTGGGAGTTTTCGTATCTGTGTTCCCCAGTTCATGACGCTGCCAGGAGCTTGAATTCTAGGAAAAGCTGTTTTAAAAAATTACATCTCAAGGTGGACAGGCCAGAATCAAATGACTGAAGTAATCAGCTGGTTTGGAAGACTCAAGTATGCAGCCTTCATTTTTTCAGCCTTTTTACCATTTGAGAATAGTATCCATAAAACCCTTATTTACAGTATATGAACTTTCTTGGTTTTGCATAGTGGCTCACTTTTGTGATTCATATTGGTTAATTCCAGCTGGACATTACTCACCCTTATGCAAGATTTTAAAATAATTTCATTTTTCTAGTGTTTAAATGGACAAGAAAGGGCATCTACAATTTGAAAACTACCTCCATCCTTATTAAACCAGTTTGATCATGTTCAGTAGTGCAGTTTAAAACCTCAGGAGGTCTTTGGTCATGATGCATTGAACAAAAGACCTCTGTGGTAGATGAAACTGGGTGGGTGACATGAAAAATGCAGATTCTGACCAAGCAAGGTGAAGGGGAGACAGGAGCTTCTTGTACAGCTTGTTTTACCCAGTGCCTGCACAAGGGGGTGCTTTGAAACAAGCAATACTTACCTAGGTGATAATGGAAAAGCTATTGGTTTAAGGGTAATTAATATGTGTGTAACCTTTCTGGTATTTCAGTGCTATTTTCTTTGTTCTGCTCCAGTGGGCAAATACAGAATACTTATTTTGAAGAAGGTGTCATGAATTGCTACGTGATTCTACAAGGCTCTTAAAAGACAAATCTATAGGAGGGGATCTGCTGAGTAGCACAGTTAGTAAATAAGGTCTTGAATTAATCTTATTGATCCAATCCAAAGCGGCTATGCTCTAGGACTTTACTCAGAAATGCAGGAATGAAGCCTATCTGTAAAAGGAGAGTGTAGAGAAAAAGAAACATGTGGCTTATTCCTGAGCAATAGCAGGGCACTGAAAAGAGTAAGCTCTAGGATTGTATTGATAATTGGGGCATTTGTGGTACCAGTTTTGCATCCTTCACTCATGCTGAACAACAATCAGACATAGATGTGGCTAAAGGAGTTTGTGAGCTCTCGCATCTCTCTCTGTTGCTTCCTTCCCCTGTCAGCCAAGATTGTGTGTGTACATTTGATCGATGCATTTGAAGCATTTCACAAATACAGCAGCTGTGATATACTTACATGTCATTTCAGTTTGGGAGTGCATTTATGAGGTGCAGCTTCAGATCATACCCATATACCATGCTTGGCTTCCTGTTCTGCAGTGATCTGGGAGGGCACGATGGATGGAAAGGGAACATAAGCTCCCAGAGCTCATCTAACAGTGCTCCAACTGCAAAAGGCACTTGGCCCACGGGAACAAACCTAAACTAAACCAAAGCCTCATGAAGTTAGCAGTGTGGGGCTGGTTCCTCAGGACTGCTTCACTCCACTAATTTGCTTCTACTGCACTGCACTAAATGTTGCTTTTGTCCTTAAATCCTGTTCTACTGAATATGCTAGATTCAAAGGGAAGTATGTATTACTGAGTTACTCAATTTAAGAGCTACAAATTATATCATTTATATTCTTATTTGGTCATGCACAAAATGCTTGGAGAGATACACGCCTTGGGTCTAAAACCGACATTCCCATTAGATGATCTAAAATTATCAAATGCCTCAGACTACATTTGACTCCAGAGGAAACTCAGCAAGAGGGAAGTCACAAAACATGCAACAGCATCAAAGTGCTACAGTCTGTAAAATAGAATAGAATCTTTCATCCTAATAATTTTCTTTCCTCTCTATGTGCAATGTTAGAGGAAACTTTATTAACTTGGAACACAATGAGAGGGAAGCTCAAGGAAGAACTGAAGAGAGGAGCTGAATTAAAAAGTGAAGACTTCCGTACTGAAAATGCTGTCCACCGACAACTCCCAATTAAGCAATTAAGCAACTCCATTTAAACTGTGACAGCAAAGGACTATCAGATGATGGCAGCTTCCATATTATTCTGCAAAGAAAGCCCATGGCATGTCGGAATTGATACATTTAATAATCTCTGTTTCAGAGAGGGCATGATACTCAACAAGAAGCTGCAACTGCCAAATAGTGGTATGTGAAGCGCATTGCATTAAGTCTAAAGCTCTGGTAGACTCAACATGAGATCACTGGCAGTTTTCATTTATTGAACCATAATTTTATCTTAGCTTTTTGCACTAACAGCTCCTAATCAGGAAGCAAACCCCATATATAGCCATATTCAGACTTTCAGCATAGAAACTCCACAGGGCCAATGTTCTGGGAATCAATTTAACTTTCATTAGAAGTTACTTAAACAAAATGTACCAAGAGCAAGGACCCAGGTAATAGATACCACTATTCACAATGGAAGGAATACAAAGGTGATCAATACAAAGAAAAGGAAATGCTGACACATGGTAAAAT